GCTGCCGCTGCTGCCGCTGCCGCTGCCGCTGCCGCTGCCGCCACCTCCTCTGCTGCCACCACTGCTGCTGCTGCTGCCAGTCCATTCATAAGAGCCCAGCTGTCCCCGTCCCTTTACCCTTGCATAGCCATGCATTGCTCTGCACTGCTCAACGGGAGATCCTTCTCTCAGCCTCATCAGGATAGCCACAGCAGTTCCTTTTACCATCACACTTGGCCCCGAGCACCTCCCCAGCTGGCCACACTGTCCCTGCTCCCCTGATGGCTGGATGAGCTCATCTGCACTCTTCTCCCCTGATTCCTGTATCCCCACCTCTCAGAACTGTGATCTCTCAAGTTCACTGACCCCTGAGGGCAGGCCACAGGCGTCCTGGTCTCTGCCTGAGCCTCTTTGGACCAGCAGCCCTGGAGACCAGGATGGCCCAGAACCTGCTCCCTTTGCTAGGCTGGTCTGCTGTCTAGTTCCAACTCACACCCAGCCCTGGTCACACACTGTCCATTGTGTACAACAGTACAGCTGGGATGACCACAGGTCTGCACCAATGGGCCTCGCACTTGGGCCTCTACCCTCAGCCCACTCTGTTTAGGGTTGGCAAAAGTCCTACTTTCAGGATGCCCATGGCCACAATTTACTGTCGGGCAGAGCCTTGATGCTCCAGAGAGGCTCCCTCCTTTAGGACACTTTTCTCCATGCCCTATCCTGCCCTAGCTCATTAGGTTAGTTCCTCTACCATTCCTCACAGACTGATTTAACAAACTCGTAGTAAGCATTTATATGCCAAGCACTGTGCCAAGAGCTCAAAATACAATTAAGAACACAAGCTGTGCGGTGATACTCCTTCCTCCCCTGTATATCAGAGATAGCCCATAACAAGAAAAGCATCTGTGGCATTTTTAAAAATCCTCTCACATCCACCTCAGCTGAGGCCACGTGCCCACATGATGGAAAGACCACCTGATGCTGGTGTTCAGCTCACCTAGTGCAGGTCTAACATTGGGGTCATCTTAATCTGTTGTAGACACGTAAAGCCAAATTGAGCACATGACTCATAATATTGTGTAATAAGATGTAAGGCCGGGGAGGTAGCTCAATGGCACCACACCTGCCTGGCAACTGCAAAATCCTGAGTTTAATCCCCAGTACTGAAAAATAATAAGATGTTATAGTTCAACTTTAAACCTAGAAGACCTGGTAAAGACATTAAAGTAGAAAAATTAGTAAGATCAGTAACCTGGCTTCCATTCAAATAATAGAATGTAGTGCTTTATATTTTGCCAAGCACTATTACTACATAATCCTTGTAACCCTATGAGATAGAAATCAGTATTTACTTCCATAGATGAAGAAACCAAGGCTTAATGTGATTGTGACTTGGCCAGGGTATTACAGCCTTATTATAAGTGGGATTTGTACTTGAGCTATTATAATAAGGCCCAACCCCCTTTCACTGTACCATTCTACAGTGGGCACCTGCTAGGCATCCTCAAGATGGTCCACCCTGTATGTAGTTGTACAATTTAAATGTTTTGAAAAATCTATAAGGCAGTGACACTAAGAAAAACCATAGAATGGTGGTGGCGAACTTATGGCACGTGTGCAAAGCAGACACACAGACCCCTTTCAGCACACAAGCAAAATCACCCCACAGCCAAGCATCAGATAACAGTTGTTTTTTTCTAAACTAAGACCTCAGTATTCAGTTTAATTGCAGTGTTGACACTTTCTGGTAAATAAGTGGGTTTTGGGTTGTGGTTTGGGCACTCGGTCTCTTGAAGGTTCACCATCATTACATTAGGACCTATTTCTCATGGAAATGAAGTTTGGTTTAGAAACTAACCTGTGCCACCAAAGCTGAAACTGTAATGGCTCCAGTGTATAATCAGAGCTTAACGTAACAGTTTTAGATTTATTGATCCATTGGTAGTGTTAGAAAATTAACAGTAGCAGAACATGAGTAGTTCTGCTTCTGCCCTCAGAGGGAAAGGACATCATTAAGAAGTAGTTTCTGACCTTCTCAGGAATCTGTACAGTACTTCAATCAAGAGCCAGGAGCTGGAGGTGGAGCTCAATGGTAGAGCACTTTCCTAGCAGCAGGAGGCCCTGGATTCCATCTCCAGCACTGCAAAAAAAAAAAAAAAAAAAGCCAGGTTGTGATTATGAGCCAGGGGCCATTTTGTTAAATTAGTTGCCTTTCTGGAGTTACTGTATTCATCCTTAAATCCTTAGATTTTTGTAAACAATGATTCAGTTGCTTGCCCTTTTGTATTTTATAGCTTTGCAAACTAGATTAGTCTTATCTACATCATACTAGGGTCAAATGAGATATTGTTCCTTGAAGAAACTGACTGAGGGGACAGTGATTTAGCTCAGTGGCACTGCACCTGCCTCCTAAGCACAAGGTCCTGAGTTCAGTCCCTGGTACCAAAAAAAAGAAAGTAACTGAGATTAATTCTTGGCCATACACAGATGAGCCAGAAAATCAATTTATCTCTACAAAATAAAACTAAAAAATTAACTGTTAAATTAATGTTGCTTTGACTATTTCAATCTTGCATGTTTTCAGTGATCTGACTAGAGTGTGAGTGTGCATATATGTGCTCTCTGGTGCTCTCTCTTGCACACTCTGACTCTCTCTGTCTCTTTATCTCTGTGTCTCTCTTTCTCTGAACTTCTCTGAGATTCAGGAAGGGATATTTGCCTATGACTATTCACGCGTTCATGTCTCATCTTGAGGAAAAGGGCTCAGAGTTCATCTTTAAGTCAGCTGTTAACTGCCCAAAGGTGGAGAATCCTTGTGAGCAGTTCATTTCTGTCCCAGAAGTGACTCAGAACCTCAGCCAAGCTTAAACTGCACCCAAAACTCCACCCTTTGAAAGCCATAGGAGAGCAGGGTATGGGGACAGAGGCCTTTGGGAAGAAGTGAGGAAATGTGTGGTGCCCGCTGAAGACATGAAAAACTGTCAGGATTTGAGGCATCTTAGAATTCTAGACAATACAATATTGCAGGATAGAAATAGAGAATCAAAGCCATGAGAAGGAGAAGGAAGCAAATATGCTGACCATGGGAGCTACTGTAGTTACTATGATAAAGATGAGTTTGTCTCAACTTCCTGGCAACCAGGGCAAAGGGGTTGGATAGAGGCCTATATGATTCTTAGACACAAGAGGCATTTGGCAATGTGATGAACACGGCCTTGGTTGGTGGTTTCCTACAGTCAGTGCAGGTGACCTTCAGGTGGTTATGTGCACACTGATGGGTGCACGTGCCAGCTCTGGTGTTATAACCTGGTAGCAGACTGGAACACAAAGCGTTTGAAGAATTGTGTAGCTGTCGGACTGATCACTGAACAGAGAACACATTTCACACCTGGGGTGTCATTCTCCACTTCATCATCTCTGGGTTCTGTTCAGCACAGAAGCTGTGGAGACATCCATCTGTCACTCAGATGCTTCAGGGACAGAAGCAAGTAGGATTTTCCTCCATTTCAGTTGCTCAAATGCTGGCTGTTGGTGAATGTGTGTGTGTGTATGATGGTGTGGGGGGATGAGAAAATTTTACATCCCAAATGACCTTGTAGTCGCTTGATGCTTGAGCACAGAAAGGAAGGAGAGGAGACCCAAGAAAATATTGACAAAAAGGACTTTGACTTCTGTTCGGCTCCATTGAGTTATATAATGGGCTTTTTCATTATTAAAGTCATTAGTCACAAAAGGATTGGCAGAGAAATTGCCACTTACCTCTTTCAAAACTGGACATGTGCAAGCTTGAAGAGCTTTCTTACAGGGGACTCTGAGCCTGTGACTAAGAATCAAAGAACTTTGGGGCAGGGATTTAGCTCAGTGGCGCCACACCTACCTCACAAGCACAAGGTCCTCAGTTCAATCCCTCATACTGCAAAAACAAAACAAAAATTTTTTTTAAAGAATCAAAGAACTTTGATGGAGCCACCACACCAACCTATAAACTCAGTATTTGGGGAGGCTGAGGTGGGAGTATTACAACAAGCTCAAACCCAGCCTGGGCCATTTATCAGCTTAACAAGACACTGTCTCAAAAAAAATTTTTTTTATTTAAGGGACAAGAGATGTAGCTCAGTGCCAGGGCTTCCCAGTACCTCAAAAAAGAAGAACTTTGATGGACAGCTAAGACAATAAATTCTCTTAACCCGCCAGAGGACACCATGAAACCAAAATTCAGAATCTTAGGAAAAGTGCAGCTTACACTCAACAGAAAAGTCAGAACCTTTAACATCAAGTTTGTCTCAACATGCCTGTGTACTCACAAGCCAAGGCATTCCCTTTGGCCAAGTGGGAAGCATGCTCTCTAGTTGAACCTCAGACAAATTTTGTGCAAGACAGATTTACTGTTTTCTATTTTAATTGAATCATAAAGACAGTTTATGACCAGTACCGCATTAGGCATGATAGAAGCAACTAAACAAGATGTGGTCTCCGCCCTCAAGGTCCCCAAGGACTTGTGTTTGAACTGGAATGGGGACTTTAGGAGTACACAGAAAAGCCTCAGGGCTTACACAGAACTTTCCAGAGAAAAGAATATTAGTACTGAGTTCTGCAGGATTCAGCCAAGTAAAAAGGAGAGCAGGGAAGGAGAGAGAAACTGGGAGGCCCAGGCAGAGAGAGAGATGTGAATAAAAAAGGCCAGGAAGCCAGGGGACAAAGAGGGACACAGAAGAAGGTGACCATGGCCTGGCTTATGAGGGGGGGACCTAACTTTCGTGTCAAGGAGCCTACCTTTATCTCAAGGCCAAGAAGCCACTGTTAAAGGGTTTTGAGCAAGGCAACTATGGGATTTGCATATCTGAAAGATCATTCTAGCAGCAGGGTAGAGTTTAAATTGGAAAGCAGCAAAACTGGAGGCAGGCAACCATTCCAGTTATTACAATAAGCCAATCAAAAATCAGAACAACAGGAACAGGGGAAAGTAAAAAAAAATTGAAAGACTATTTAAAAAGCAAAATACATAGGTGACAACATAGATGTATGAAGTTCTTGTTTAAAAACAGCAAGGTGTTTACCCCACACATGGATTAATTACAAGTCAGTCACTTGTGGATTGGGTGCCTGGATGTATTAGGTTGTATCCTCGAAGGAGCATGTATAACCTCTGTGAGTGTCATGTCCTCCCAGGGGAAGAGCTGAAGCAGTGATCCCCTAGCAGAGTCCACTCGGGCCACATGGGCTTACAGCTCTGCAATGCCTCTGTGCTGATAGGAACTTGAACAGTTAGAGGTTTGCCATGCCTTGGGAGGGAACTGAAAGGAGTCCCAAAAGTCCTGAAGATCTTGAGTGCCACATTTTGTCATGGGCAGTGCACTACGCACAGTCTTTAGTGGCAAGGCTAAGGTGAAAGGCCCTGGGCCTTCACTCCAGCCCTGGATGAAGTCCCCTTCCTCATACACCCCATAGGGCCCTTCACCATGGCAATTTAAAAGCCTGTGTAAGTGCGAATTCAGCCTCTGCACTTAGAGGAGCCAGGGTTTGCTACCCTTGGTTGGCAATTTTCTGTATGAAATGTGACAAAGTGGGCTCTGGATCAGTGTGAAGCCAGCCTGTAGGTCCAAATCTACCTCCAAAGTGCTTTGCTCATCAATTAAAATTCATGCTCCAACTAATAACAGGTTCAAATGGACATTAATCTAGTCAGTGCTGATTTTTATGAAGGAAAATGAATCTGATTGATTCATGACATTCATAAGAAAAATGTCCAGCTTGTCAACATTTATTTTCTGAAAACTACTGTCCATCCTTTAGAAGAAAAGAAGTGATGTATGTTCTTTATAAAATTGGTGCATTTCATAATACCTTGCTGAAAATTTGAACCTTGGCTTGAATTTTTTCAGTTGTCTGAATTTTTACAGACTAATTTGCAAATTGTATTAGCTATTTCTTCTTTTAAGTCTCTCTTTTCTCTCTCTCTCTCTCCTCTCTCTCTCTCTCACAGGCACTGAAGGTCCTGAGAACTGCAGAGTTTGCTCCTTTTGTCGTTTTTATTGCTGCGCCAACCATCACACCAGGTTTAAATGAGGTAAGGACGAATTCCTCTTTCTCCATCTACGCACACCCCATTGTAAGGATGCACATGTGCTATACTCTCAACACCCAGGCCCCATCTCATCAAGACAACTAAGCAAAACTCGTCTTTGTCTTTGATGCTGAGCAGTCATACCTCCAGAGGTTGAGGTCCTCTTTCAATATTCGGAATTAAGCAACATAAACAGGGAGGCTCTTCTGAGATCAGAACCACTAGACAAATTACAGACTGGGTCCCCAGCAAAAGTCTGCTCTGGTGAGACAGGATGTGGAGTAAGGAGGTTGGGGGTCTGCCAGTGGCCTTATCAGTAAGTCTGCTTCTAACATCCAAAGATAAATACGGTCAGGCTCCTCTCCCTGGTACTTTCACCCTCCAGAGCTGCCCACCCACTGTCTCTCCTGATTTAATCATTCTAAGACGATAGCAGCCTTGGACCAGTTCAGGATCAAGGACTGCTTAGCCTAAAGAGAGCCATAGGGAATCCGTGACCTTGGCCAGGGTGCCCAGATGCCCTTTTCTATTTTAGGCCCTGGAGACTACCAAACTTAGAGATGAGCTCTATCTGGCAAGCAGTGTGGCCTAGTATTAGAGCACTTGCCTTTCATGCACAAGGTCCTGGGTTCCATCCCCATCAACAAAAACATAAAAAATGAGCTGTGCCCACTCCCAGGCCAAATCAAGTCAGCTGCCAGAGAATTAACTCCTGCGAATGTTGCCTGAACCATCTCTTTGATGACCACTCAGAAAGCTCTCAGGTGCTGGGCAGATAAAGGATAGCGTCACATTTCTGCTAAGTGTAACAGTGACTACCTGCTGTCACTTCCTTGGTTAAGGAAGACTCCTATACAAAGTTACCCTAAAGAATTTTAGTTTAGCAAGTTCTAGAAACCATCAGAGGACTCAGTGCAGTTCAATAAACACTGGCCTAAACCCATCCAAGCTTACAGTACAGTTAAATCGAGAGTTAGAAATTCTTACTTTCTGTGCCTTTTAGGGAAGGTCAAATGTTTAGATTTACCTACATTACTCATATTTTTAGTCATCATTTTTTGTCATTTGGTCTGTAAAAGTCATAATCCTTTGTAAAAGTCATAATCCTTTGTAAAATTCAACTTTCCCATCTTATTTAATATACAAGCATGTGGTTATCTTTTATCCTTTGGTTACCATGTTATTTTTCTTGAATTATCATTGCTTTCTTTTTGTTTTTGTTTTGCCTGTTTCCCTGCCCTTTTATTAATTTTCCATAGCTGCCAAAATGGTGCAGAAAAGTGCCTGTAAGTACCAGTTAGGCGGTGGTGAGACCTGTTTCTTTACATAGATGTAGAATGTAGACATCTTGTTCCCACAAACCCTTGCTTTCGCTCTTAGAATAATGGCATTTTGTTTTCACTGAGTTAAACCCTGCTCACATATAAGTCAAGCATGCAGACAAGACATTGTCAAGGAAGACTCTGACAAATAGATCTTCCGCTTAAAAGATCCATAAGAGGGAGCTTTCTTTTTCTATAAAGAGAACAATATCAAAAATTTGATGCCCTCATCTGTAAATTTTGTTGAATGTTTTCATCAGCCCAGCTTGGTAATAAGCACATCATAAACTCTGCTAGTGGGTTTTTCAGCCCAGAACTGTATATTCATATAGGCTCCCCTAGCCCAGAGAATAACTTCGTACGAACTATTCCTTCTCATACTGATAGCAAGCATACTCTTCTTGGGGTGAGTACATGTTTCCTAAAATGGGATTATTACATTGTATTCATTATAAAATAGATCCACAGTGAAAATACTATGCTTTTTAAGTGCAAGCAGAATGTGTGTTGATTGGGCATGGTGGTGAACACCTGTAAATCTCAGCCCTTGGGAAGCTGAGGCAGGAGGATTTCAAGTTTAAGGCCAGCCTGGGCAACTAAGCAAGATGCTGTCTCTGAATAAAAATGTATTAAAGGGCTCATCACTAGAGTACTTACCTAGCATATGCAAGGCCCTGGGGGAGCCCAATATGAGAGACCTTATCAACATTGTCATGGTTAACAGTGAGTTCAAAGTGTGCCATGCAGGGGCTGGGGATTTAGCTCAGTGGTTCTGCTGCCTGCCTTGCAAGCGCAAGGTCCTGAGTTTGATCCCCGGTACCAAAAATAAAGAAAAACAAAGTGTGCCATGTCAGAATGTCCTGGTAGGAAAGACCGAGTTCCGAGCTACTCACTGCTCCTGTGTCTGCCCTCCCCACCTCCCCACTGCGGGCCAGGAGAGGATCAATCTAGGCTCTAGTCTCTATCTCACTTCAGCTGCCCTCTCGAGAACAGCCCAACCAAGCCGAGGCTTGCAGGACCCTCTCAGGGCCTCATCACAGAACAGAGTGTTTGGTTGGTTGGTTGGTGGTTTTTTTGGTTTTTGTTTTTGTACCAGGGATCAAATACAAAGAGTTTTTAGCAAGTAACAGAGGCACCTCAGAGAAGAAGGGTGACTAGAGCTCCTAGGTCCCTGAAGTCACCACATTTTTTATTTTCTGTGGAGATCTGTCCCTGTCATGCTTGGCCCTCATTCCCTAGGACAATCACTTGGTCCCTCAATTATAGATTTAATAATTTTATTTTTCCCCATTAAGTTTATTGGTAAATTTATAGATATAATAATTTTAAATCCTGCAATGGCAGGTACTGGCCAGCCAAGTGCTTGTTCTTTCCACAGCATTTATTAAGCACTCGCTATGTGCCAGGCATTGTGCTTAGATTTGGTACACAGTAATGACAGCACACACAAGACAAGTTTACACCCTAATTTGACTGTTAATTAAATATACAGATATTTAATTGCATCCCTGTAGATTTAACATTTGAGCCAATAGTTCACCTTCCTGGTGTCTGGCAGATGCAAGGGGGTTCAGGTGGTTAGTTTGACTCACAAAGTTCCCTAGTTTGAAATTAGAACTTAGCCTTTGGGAATTCAGCATAATAAATTTAACCCATGCAGAGGCAAAAGCGGACTTCTTTCTAGTGGCCCCTAAGAGATCCCACTCTTGAAATAACTGGTTTTGTTCTGTTCTGTTTTGTTTCGATTGGGGGAGGTCGTTGGTTTTATGTTTTTGAGACAGGGTGTCACTCTGTAGCCCAGGCTGGCCTCGAACTCACAGCAATCCTCCTGCCTCAGCCTCCTGAGTGCTGGGATTAGAGGCATGAGCCACCTTGCCTGGCTCAAGACCTGCTAGTGAAAAGCAGTATTTACATGACAAACTTAGGACCCTGAATTCTCTCCCACTGCTGGCTTCTCTGGGTGAGGGTTCTGTAAATGTATAGCAAGCTATGGTGTAGGGAACGTCCTTTGCCACAGAAGGCCTCTCTCAAGTTCAGTAGCTTCTCTTCCTTCAGAGTTATTTTCATAAGAGATACAAGTATGAGGGGACAGTGATTCTTACCTGGCCGTGTCCAGTGCAGACCAATTTTGGGGCATTCATCAGATGCCTGTTGCTATTTTATTTGGAAAACAACCTGTTGCAGCCATTTTCGGTAATATCCAAAAAAGCTTTTGACTCTAGCATACACTGCTATTGAGTGAGGCCCATTATACATAATTAAATTCCTGGAACATGCTGAACCTTTAAGTAGAAAAGGCAAAAATACAGCTTACTGTGTTAAGGCATGGCCCTATTGAATTGATACAAATCCAGCTGGGCCCTGAATGAACTTTGATGACCAAGGAGTGGGCGAGCTTGGTCCTCACCACCACAGCCCTCCCAGCAGGCGGAAGGGCGACCCCTGCAGGCCAGACACCTCACATGGCCTCACCCCACCGACTCAGGCCAGGCGCAGCGAGGCCCTCTAGGGGCGGAGTGTCTACTGAGGTGTCTGTGTCGTCTGCTTTGTCACTGAACCCCTCTTATGTGTTGAGCAGTCGCAGGTGCCAGCAGGAGTTGTGTAACCCTGTCGCCACAGGGCCCCATCCCCTCTGTCACGGAGCCATATTGGTCTCGTGCCCAGGTGTGGCCCTGACTGCTTCTGACCCTGGGACAAAGCGCAGAGGGAAGAGTACATCTGACTCCTGTCCCCTGTGTGCTTTCCCTCTCCCGCCCCACCCACCCACGCCCTCCCCCTGTAGGACGAATCTCTCCAGCGCCTGCAGAAGGAGTCTGATATCTTACAGAGAACGTATGCGCACTACTTCGATCTCACAATTATCAACAACGAAATCGACGAGACAATCAGACATCTGGAGGAAGCCGTGGAGCTCGTGTGCACAGCCCCGCAGTGGGTCCCGGTGTCCTGGGTCTATTAAACCTCTCTCCAGATCCCTGAGCAGAACTGGGAGCCACCTCATCCATGGAAACGCCTCTTTGTTACCGGCCTTGTGTCAGCAGGTCATGGTCCCTAGAGACTACCTAGTTGTAGTGTGACCTACATTTACAATTATTGTCATGTCCAAATAGATAGGAGGAGAAAAACAATTACACACTAATTTAAAGAGACAGTATCTTTTTTAATCAGTTCTCCTAAACTTTAATAAAATGTATCTTTAAATGTATGTATTCTTCAATCCTTTGGAATGTTATATTTTTGGAAATCATAGCTTTTTATTTCCAAGGCCCCTAAAAACTGCACAAAATAGATGCTGCTTTCTATAATCTATTTTAATAATAATAAACAATGATTCTGTTACCTTGACTGGGGGTGGAACACTACATTCTTCTTAGAGTCTGATTTTATGGATTGGAATATCTTTCTTTCTCTATTTATTTGAAATAATTAGTCTGGTGATTACAAAACAGTCATAAATTTTTAAAAGCCTTTTTTCTCTCTTTTTTTTTAGAATAGCATTTTTTTAAGTCCTTTGTGTAACATCCAGATAATGTGATACTGTCTCTTTGAAGCACCCTGTAAACCTTTTAGAGATTTGAAGTTGGGTCTTGACTCTTAATGCATGTGGACAGTCGCGAGCGTTTATGCTGTCGGTGTGTCTGTGTTGGACAAAACAATCTGTAATCTGCAGCGAAGTACATTCCGTTCACGGGGCACACCCAGGGGAATAAGAATAAAATGCTATTATGACTAAGTTGTAAACCTATGCACATCCCTTGCATTTCGGGCAACTTTATTAAAAAGAAAAAGAAAAAGATCCTGATTTTTATTAATAATAATCATGTAGTGAAATGTGTTTGTAATTTTGTCTCAATTTAATTTGTTGTAAGGTGGGAGGGGGAATTGCTGGTTTCACCATTTCAGATCTGTGTTGTCTAAGAGTATTAATGTTTTAATCAAGCAAAGAAATGAGGATTTTTAATCTGTATGTAATTGTTTTGAAGCACCCATTTTAAGAGAAAATACTGTGCAATGAAGAAAACCAGTTTAGGCATTTGCTATAAACTGAATTATTCCAAAAAAAATAGCATATAACAGCCCTGTAAATTTCTTTAAAATGATGAACTAACAGGACAGTCTGACCAATTTTTTTAAATATACTTCCTTTTATGTGCTCAATAATCAAATGCCTTTGGGTCCTTCATTTCATTATGGATCTGTTCAGGTTTCCAAGCCAATAATCTTTTCCATTTTACAATTTGTTAGATGTTCACTGACCCATGGAAGGCCCAAGAGTGAGCATCAGCAGGCAGGACAACAGAGCAGCCTGCCTGGGCGCAGCTGACTCACAGGGCCACCTGTGGTCTCTCCTTCCTCTTGCTGTAGCCCTGGGCACAGGGGATCATCTGTCCTTGTTGCTTGAGAGTCATTTACCATCTCATCACCCTGCCATGAGGTCACATTCTTCCAATGCAGGTGATTCGGGCCGGGGGTCCCCAGCCTCTTTGCCGAGAGGTCAGTAGAATATTTCTCCTTAGCGTGTTACTGCCAGTAACCTGTGATCCTTGAAAACACACCATCATTTTTGCTTCTTGTAGGTTAGATGGCCTCTGTCACGGTGTGCCTTGGCAGGGTGTGCAGGGTGTGTTCGGAACTAATAGCTCCACTTAAAGGACTGAACAGTGAAAGCATTTTTGTATACTCCTCTGACACTGTCAGCACCCCAGCCCTGATCTACCACTACTTAACACTGCTGATGTTCTGTTTTCTGATATTGTTCCTGACAGTAGCCAGATGGGTCTGCAGTATACTGACAAGGCGGTGAATGAACAACTTGTGTCCAGGCCTCGAAGTGGGGGTGACCAACCAAACCAGAGACAAGCCCAACAGTGGTCTTGCCGTAGATGGAGAGAGACACGTTCAAGGAGTTGTTCAGGGCTGTGTCAGGACTGACTTAAATCTAATTGATACCAAGGCCAGCCAGTCCTTCCTGCAGCAGTACTGACCACAACCCCGGCTCTTTTCAGTGTCACAGTGCCCACGCTACCTCTTTTCCGGTGAAGCACAAAGAACACAACTGACACACAGGAAGCAGAGACCCCCTCCCTCTGCTTGCTTTCTTTGGGCTCAGAGAAGCACACCAGTGGGCCTTGTGCTTGTCAGTATGCAGATGATGAAACCCCTGCACCTAGAACACACTGACTTCTCAAACAGGTCATCTGTTCCATCCCACTAATGTACATCTTCTCTAAAGCAGTGTCTTTATGACCTAGCAGAGAATTGCTTACATTTCTGAATTCAGAGTCATTTCAGTGCATTGCTGCTATATTACAATTGTCCACTAAGCGATCAGAAGATTACTAAAAGCTTCTTTGCTGCCTCCATTCCATCAGCAGAAACTTTTTTTTTTCCTTTTAAAGACCAGAGCAAATGATTAGATTACTAAATCTTATCGGTGGTCAATTGAAGCACTATAGAACCATATTCTGAAGGTGATCCCCACCCTCACCCCACTCCCCACAGCAGGACAGGGAGTACTTTGATGTGTTGAGTCTTTTGTTAAAAAGATGAAATGCCCTAATTTTCTAATTATGAGACAGTAATGACTTTGCACAGGTAGCATATTCCATTTTAACACTGAAAAGGAAAGTATTGCTCAATTTAATTCATCTGGAAGTTTCCCAGTGTCAAGATAACATTGTAGCTTTTTTAGACGCAATTAAATGTTATCTCCTGTCGGGTGAGATGGTTTAAAATATCTGCTCAGAGAGGAAAAGAAATGGTTGACCTACTTTTTGCTATTTGTATTCAGACACCATCCTCCCAGCCCATCGTATTGGTGGCAGAATATCTAAAGATGTGCAGAGTTCCCCACTGCATGGAGAAATGCAGGGAGTGTCCCCATCCCAGTGTCCATCTCCTGCTGTGGAGCCCAGCCAACCAGGCCAAGCCTTCCTTTGAAGCTACTATTATCTTTCCAAGCCTTTGATCTCAACGTTCCTTCGTTTGTTTTGAAATTGCTTGTAGTTGTGTCTTTATTAAGGCTTCAAGTTCATTCCTTGCAAAAGCTGAGTCAATCAAGCCACCCTCTAGAAAACCGGACAAGGGAGAAGCCCAGGGTACAAACTGCCCGCAAAGGACAAGGCAGTCCAAAGCACATTTCAGATGAGTTTCTTAACTTGGGGCGAAGTTAAGCTTAGCTGAGAAAACAGATGGATTAGTAAACTCTTTAATAAAAATGTCTCTGGAAACAAAAGAAATCGCCTCACAGCATGCCAGAAGCAAACCCCTTCCAGTCCTCATCCCTGTCATTAAGCTGTTGTGTATTTTGTGTTTTTCACTTTTTCAGAATTGAACACAGCCTCCTAAGGCCATCCTCCTTACAAGGGCTTACAATCCTGAGGCTCCCTGTGGTCTGTCAGAAGGGAAAGGTCACTGAGCATGGCTTTCTTGTTCTGCGCCTCCAGTTCATTCTTCTCTTAAGAGATCTTGCTTCTTCTCCCTGCAGCTTATGGAAGGGCTACATGCTGTGATCTCTCCTCATTTCATCTGGCACAGCTTTCTCTTCCCTGACCTCTTGGAAGACAGGGTTCCCTCTGTTCCGTATATCCAGTTTTAGGACCACACTGAGACTTACTGCATGGTTGGCTGTGCCTGAGCACTCACGTCCATCTGCCTTAAACCTGGGGCTTCAGCAGGTCCCAGACTGCCCAGCCAAGGGAGTGAACTTCAGCTGTCGAACCAGGAAGCAAGGAAAGGCGAGAGGAGTCTGTTCTCCGCTATTTTCCCCTCTGGTCTTTTCCCTGGCATCCTTGGGCTGCAGCAGGTGGGCACACAGAAATGGCAGTGCAAAGAGGGCACCATCCTCTCTAGAGCAGACACTCCCAAGTCTTACTTAGCTCTTCCCAGGGAGAGAAACTCCTGAGTGCCCATCACCTCTCACCTGATTCTCCATCAACTTCCCTGAACCTGTGCAAATGGACTGAGCAAAAGAAAATGGAAAGAGATGTTTGCAACCACACAGGAGACCCACTTTCTGGCCCCAAGCATGACTCCATCTCCACGTGAGTGCAAAAACTTGGAACTTGATTACCACTTAGAGTTAGCTCCATTCTCTCTGGAGCATGACCTCGGGGACATGCCAATGCTCTCAGCAGTGGAGGCCTGGGCTGACTGTCTCTGGGCCCAGGGGAAATACAATCTATTGAAGGAGTTGTGCTTGGGAGTAGAAATAGGCATCCACAGTGAGTGGCCCCACCAATTTTTTTCATTTTGGAAGAGACCAAGAATTGGGGGCATTGATTGCCAGTCTTAGCTGTCCCCAAAATGTCCTCCAGGTAGGCAGGTGGCAGCTCCCAGGCACAAAGGCTGCACAGCCTTCATGTGCTGATACCAGAGCATCGTGTTTCACTGCAATGTGGGCACGTCACCATTCAAACTCGGTTCTGAGGTGGTTTTGCATAAAGTTTGCCAACGTGTTCTTTTTTCTGTATGTATTATTGCCTTTTTATAAAAGGTTTTGAAGTATTGTCTCAGTGATAAAAAGAGAGAGATGTTAATGGTTGTTGTATATTTCACCGTATCCAATTGTAAGTATTTGCAGGGTACAGCAAAGCCTTAGCTTGCAAGAAGAGCTGAAGGGATTGGAAAGGTTCGGATTCTTTGTAAATGTCCTGCTTTTCTTTCTCTCTGTGTGTATCTATTTACATGCCTTAGCACACGCCCTCCCGTCCTGATCCCTTAACCATGGCGTTGGTGCGCTGCCAACGCTGTACAAGTGGAAACCCTAATCAGTTATCTTGTGTGACAGGGAAGAAGAAAAACTCCATAGTATTCTTTGTAGAATATACATATCTGTAGGATGCTGTGTAATGGAAAACCATAGAATTTGGGTTCTTGTCATTTCAAAGTTGGAGAAATGTATGAATAAAATGTATAAAACATGAAAATTCAGTCGTCTCCTCAGATTACAGAACAAACAGCTTGGGGACAAACAACTGAAGGGTTAGGAGGAGAGGGCTGGCGCAGTGTCTGAAGACCCTGTAAAGTTCCTCTCCATGTAAGCCTTGCAGACCTCCTCCCAAAGGACCAATGGAAGAGAGACATTTCCTGCCCTCCCAAAGGAGCATTCCCAGGCTCCTGGTACCCATGCTGGAAGTCTCTGTCCTCGGCCATGGCTGCCACAGAGAGCAGTGCAAGCCTAGTTGCTTGCATTTGAATGCAGATTTAAAATAGCTTCAGACTTCTATAAAAAGGGGAGGCAAGTTGTGACATCTGCTAGAAATAGAACTCTACATTGATTTTAGTGACATAAGCTCCACAGCACAGAAAACAGCCCTCATCTGACATTTGTATCAGAAGCAACAAGAGGAAGCCTTTCCAGGGTCATGGCTCTGCTGAAGACACTTTTGCTGTTCTGCAATTTGATTGGGTCCCTGGCTGGGGTCTGCTGTACTCAATCCAGCTTTTGCCCTAAGCAAAGAAGCAAGGCAGCTTCCTGTGTTGCAAGCAGCTCCAGCAGAGGCCAAGTCTGAGAGTACTTGCCTGGTTCACTTTAAGAAGGACCCATACTAAGGCAACATGAACTAGGAGTAATTATTTGCTCTACTCAAACTTCACACTATGAAAAACATATGGAAGAATCGAGATCCCACTCAGACACAAAAAAACTGAGTCCCTGGACTTTTGATTCGGGGAACTGCAAATTGTCTTTCTGCAGACTTTTCACCCTAGATGGACAGAAGACAAAAAGTGTAGTGCTCCCATCAAGCTTTTCCTGAGCTCCATGGTATTTAAGTCATGTGAATATTCCAATATAAGGGGCTGGGAATTTAGCTCAGTGGTTCAGCAGCCTGCCTCGCAACCACAAGGACCTGAGTTTGATCCCCAGTACCAAAAATAAAACAAAAAGAATATTCTGATATTAAGCTAGTAGAAATAAATATAAGCATATTTCCTTTAAGGCACATACATGTCAATACTAAGCCAGTGGAAATAAATATAAATTTATTTTCCATGCTTTTACCCTGTCAACTGTAATATGATAAGCTGAATGAATAACACTGAATATCAT